CATCTTATATATCAAGCTCAAGGCACTCTATTGCTTGGCCACTGTCAAAACCACACAAAATGTCAAAACAGAATTCCTAGTGACCAATAAAGCCTGACAGCACTGTTCCCTCTAAGCTGAGTTAGTGTGAGCTACCTCACAGTTTTTTAGCCTCCGGCTCCCACATTTTTGTCTTAGCTCAGGAAGGATGGCTCCAGAGCAAACTAATTAATGCAGTAGCAAAATCGCTTGCTCACAAAGTAGATTTTTTGCTACAAGACTCCACAGCTTAGAGGGAGCATCGCCTGACAGTTTAAATTTTTGTAGACTTCAACCATTCTTGTAATGCAAAGAAACTACTCAGTCAAGTACATTGCTTCGTGGGCCTGTTATTGCTCTCTACACTGTGATATAGCCAGTGCTGACACACACTTCTAAATCCTCAGCTCCTGGGCAGAATCAAAAAAGATCTTTTAGTTCACCTCTGTAGCAACTTCTTCCTTTGCTTGGGACTACTGAGGTTTCAATGGTTAATGAAGCAAGTGGTCTGCCTAGTCATTCTGAAGGAACTAATCTATAAACATTAGTCAGAATGAAAAAAGAATGCACTGCAAAGAAGCTTCTGGCATAGTTTATTTATGAAAATATTTGGTACCTGACCTTTCACACCATCCAGCAGTGGCTTAAGGCAGCTTCTAAATGCACACACAACACCATTCAAAAATATTAAAATATTATAAATACAAAAAGCCCCAAAGATTAACCCTTGGTTACTCTCCTGTGCATGCACTCAACATGGATTCAAATCAGTAAAATTATCCTTTAAAAATATTTACAGTGCCTCTGAAACTGTGCCAGATTGGGAATCCTCCTATATTCCTCTAGACTATTCCAAAGAACAGGTGACACCACCAAGAACAAGTACGCTAGAGTCATGGTTGGTCTAGTGGACTTCAAAAATGGCACATCCAAGAGAGAGCCCTGAGAGGATCTAAGCTGGTACATGGATTCATACCATGAGAAATCGTCCTTCAGCAATATACATAGCAAACCAAACAGAACAGCCACAGAAGTCCTCTGCATAGCCATAGAATTCACTCTTCACCATGGACAGGGAGAGAATAATACCAGTGACATATAGGCTGTACTACTCACCGCAATATGTGATGGAGACAGTGGTGTTATTCCAGGGTCTCCCAGACTCCTGGCTGGAGAAGCATAGGCAGATGTTGGGGCTCCATCTGAAAGAAAATGGAAGTCTTTAACAGTGCAATCCTAATGGGGGGGTCCCTGAAAGCACTCAGGGTGCCAACTGACCTTTGCGTCAGCAGATGTCCGAGATATGCCAGTGTAAGGGCCAGTTACAATGGCACAGGCCCCCAGTAGCTGCCTGTTGGCACAATGGAGGTGTAGGCCCCTACACTGGCATGGCTGTGGGTGGTTTGGGGGACGTGGCCACAGTTAGTTGGTTCCCGGAACCCTTCCAGCCTGGGAATGCCCCTGCTAGAGGCAGAAAGTAACATCAACAAAAGACATGGTGTGGTCCATAGGCACCCATTGAACTGAAAAATCAAGTTGTCTCATCTCCTGCCGCAGCCACGCCAATTAGGCTCAGAGAAGCGCAAGATGCCTACTACGGGCTCGACCGATAATGTCCCTCCCTGGGGCGGCCAAGCCCCCTCCCCAGCACCCAATTGCAGCCCCCCCCCCAACCTTCAGCCAGGACATCTTACAACTCAGTAGTTAAGGCATGCAGCATGGGACTCTGTCTCAGAGTTCCCTGCTATGCAGACATAGACCAAGCAGCAAGGCACTTTGGTTGTGGGAAAAGCACAGAAAGGGCACTTAGCACTAAGACCCAAGGAGGAGAGCAAAGTCCATACTCTGTGGCTGATTTCTCACATTTCAGAATCCTAACAGGCACCCCACCTTTGAAGGCTCAACCCAAAGAGGTGACCACACACTGACAGGTAAGCAAGGGCAAGGATCCCAAACCTGCTCTCCCATTCCCCTCACTTGAGCCTCAGTGCCATAACACTGAGTGCCCAGCACTGAGTTTGTGCAGGGGTGGCACAAGCCACAGACTCACACTACCATGCCCACTGATATGGCGTGGGAAAAGATCCCAGGAAAGTTTCTCAGGAGATCTGCGGGGGAGGGAGGTATGCTTTGTCATTTGCCTGTTTCCCACCCTCGGCAGAGGACAAGGCATGTCAGTGGTTGGGGGGGGGGAAATCTGGCAGCTGCTCCACTGTACGTGGTAAACCAGCTGGCCAGGCGACCCTTTGACTCATTTCCTTGCAGAATCAGAGCCTTGAGCAGCAGTTGCAGGTGCTGCTGCTGCAGATGAATCACCAGCAATCCTTGAGCACTTCAACACAGGACAGGTGAATGTAATTCAGATGGCACCATCATGTGCCTCAAGTGGGGGTTTGTGGTGGAGGCCCCCCCATTGTGGTGGAGGCCCCATTCGCAGACCCTGTCAGGACAACACATCCATGGCCAAGGCTGGCATGGCACTTGTGCTGGGTTACCATGGCTGCATGTACCTCTGTTTTACTTTCTGCAGGGGAAGATTCAACAGGGAAACTCAGGGTTGTCAGGTCCTACTTGGCTGCTGGCTGGGGGCTCCAGGATCTGTTCAAGGATCTTCTGGTGCACACGTGAAGTGCACAATGATGTCACAAAGTTTTGCCCAAAAACCAGAGCATCACCCCCTTCAATGTTGGTGAAGTGATGATGTCACTTCTGGGTGACATTATGTCACATTCAGGGGCATTTACAGGTGGGGTTCTCCCCCCCCATGGCCAGTTGGCCAATGGCAAAAAGGACCCAACAAAACCAGGGGAACCCCTGCCCAGACTGCGGCCCTGGCGACCCTAGGAAAACTTGTGGGTGTGGCTAGTCCTGCCTCCCCTCCCACTCTGCTCAGTCTGCTGTTCCAGCTCTACTGTTGGAGTGGAGCATTGCACCCAGCCGACCCCCACATGCGGCACAAGGGATTCTCAGTCCTCTTCCCCATGGCCCCAAGGAGGTAGCGAGTGGAGTCTTCACACCTCACAGTGGTTTGCAGCTCAGTACAGTCTGTGTTGTTCCACAGCTGTGTCTCTGTCTGTTTGGTTTTGACTACATGACAGGAGCTCCACACCCCTGCCTGCCCCACTCTCTCCCCACCCCATCTGTGACTCCCCTGAGGGCTGTCCGATGACATGCCTAAGAGGGAGGGCTCTCAGGTGCCTTCGGTGGCTGTGGATGGTTCTGCAGGTGCCACTGGTCATAGTAATCTGTCAAACCTAGCAGGGGCCCAGTTACACCTCCAGGGCTGACCTAACAACAGTTTCCCTCCCTCACCTCACGGGCTGCTGTGTGAGGGAGGAGAGGCCAGCAGGTGGTCTGGGTGAATGAGCCAGCTGGGTGCGGTGGTTAGAATGTGAGACTAGATCTGGGAGACCCAGATTCTGATTCCCACTTGTACCATGGAAGCTAGGTGGGTAGCCTTGGGCCAGTTGTACACTCTCAGCCTAACCAACTTCACAGGGTTGTTGCGAGCATAAAACAGAGGAGAGGGGAATGATGTAAGCCAGGGGTGTTAAACCTATGGTCTGTAGGCCAGAACCAGCCCACCCAGGTCTTTAATCTGGCCCATGGCTCTCTTCTCCACCCCACCCCCTCCCCTGCCTGTCCTCACCATTCTGAGGGAGATCAGGGCTGCCAAACTTCCTAGCTGGCTGGGCCTTGTCTTTGCCTGTTTCTCCTCAGGCAGGAAGCTCCTCTTGGCTAAAGCACAAAAAAACTTGCAAAGAAAATGCAGAATGGATTTTCCTTTAAGGTCTCTGGGCCAAGATAGACTACTCTGGGACTGGAACGACAGTCCCCAGAGAGGAATGACAGTCCCTGGGAGTAGCAGCTGTGTTCTGGGAATGGAATTCCACTCTGGGGGCTGTCATTCCAGTCCCACAGTAGTCTATCTGAGCAGTGAAACCTTAATTGAAAATCCATTCTGCATTTTCTTTGCAACTTCTTTTGAGCTACAATGTATTTCAATGGAGTGGAGCTCAAATAGTTCAACTTTCCAGTGTTTGTATGCAGTTGAAGTTGTCTCCTTGCAAATAAAGGGATGATGTTTTGAGCCAGCTTGTCTCTGCTGAATGGACCTGAGAACGGGTACCTGAGTGAGTACTCTAACTTGGGAACCCACAGCCAAAGGGGAACATTACACTGGAGAGCCACTGCCACTCTGAGTAGACCGGGGGGGGGGGGGGGGAGCTTGCAATGCCCAGACATTTCATGTTTTCCTAGACTCAGAGCATTTTATATTTTAAGATTTTATTTTTAGTTTCTGCTGTGATCCTTGTGCTTTTTCTTGGTGTTTTATTTAAAACATTGCATTGCCAAATCCCTCTATCCCCCCCCCACCTTTCCATTTCAGGTAGGCATCTTTTAAGGGCGGGGGGGAGGTTGGGGAGGTGTCAGTTATCAAAGATTGTTAAATTAAAAAATATGGCAAGGGTGTCACTATTTTAAGCATGTTTGTAGTTTAAGTTTAAAAACTTTGTGTTTGTTGGTGTCCTTTATAAAGTTAACATCTTTGCTACCTGGCATTACATTTTATGACACACATGGCCTGGCCTGTCAAAGTCCCATTTATGTCACATCCAGCCCTCGTAACAAATGAGTTTGACATCCCTGTGTTAGACTGTGATTCTCCCAAGCAGAGTATGTGAGCTGTGTACAAATGTTTTGTTGCTTTTAGGGACAAGATGGACTGAATCAGCCATGACAGTCATAAATACCCTGAACTTAGAAAGCAACTGTTGTCCTGACAGCAAGACACTGGGAACAGCTTCTTCTCTCCCAGTATCGTCGCCTGTAACGCAGAACTGGAGTCCTGTTTGCTAATGTTGGGGGCTGAGGAGTTCCTGATCTCTAAATTCTTACTCAGGGGGGGCTGAAAGGCTCCTTGATACTTCTGAGCAGTGATATTTTGTATGTATATAAAGTCAATCCTTTCAACAGATTTTCCAGTTGACCTAAATTCCAACTAGCTGGTGACTATACAGATTTACATTATTATATGAAATGTCTCCCAAATGTATTTAAACCCAACTCAGATACTAAATCTGGCATGGTAAATCTTAAACTAAATTACTGCCTCTTAGATTCCATGAGAATTTGCTATGTTCAGTATTTTAATATGATTTATTACTAGCAAACTGATGATTTCATTCCTGCACCTTCGCCTCCTCTCAAGACTTATAAAGAAACAAACAAACAAATCCTCCTTAATAATGCCCATATATTGTTGTAGATTGTTTAAAGGCTTGTGATCACAGATTCAGCATTTCCTGGTCATAAAATGTCCAGTTTTTTAATAGTTCGGCGATATGTACACAGTGCTTGTGGTTGCTTCACAGCAAATTGATATACAAAACATCAGCTGCATCAGTGAAAAGACTGTCATCTCTTCCCCAGCTAAGAGAGAATCACAAATTGGTTATCAACCAGAATTTCAGGCTATCAGATTAATCCTTTATCATTACCATGAAAACATTTCAGCTGTCTTGTTCAATACTAGTTAAACAGTGTAAGGACTGCACTGTTTTTATGGCTTTTCCCTTCCTCATATTCTTCTCCATGCTTGGCTGTCACAGTTTAAGAGGAAATAAAATGTTCAAAGCGGTGTAATGTCTGGACTTTGTTAGACTGTCGCTTTAATTATAATAACCATTTCACAGATTACAAATCTCATTTTTTTTTTAAAAAAATGACTTTCATGTGTCTATTACTACTTTCCAGAACACCTGAGAAGGAAGCAACTGATTTGGGATTGCTAGAGACAATTCAAGAGAATGCATTCCAGTTTAGTTCAATCTAGATAATATAGCACCTTTTTAAAGGTTTCCATGGACACCATATTATTGCATAGACATATCCTATAATCAAAGCTGTTGGGGGTACTGTTTAAAGCTCACAGCAATGGCATGAAGGAACAGCTAGATTCAAGAAATAACGTTCCATAACTGATTTTCCTCTCCCTTCTCTATTTTTATCTCATCATCCACACTACAGTAAAATATGAAACTAAGTTCTTAGTGTTCACTTGGCGGTTCTTATCTAGAATCTACCATGGTAAGATAGATCTTGGCCTCCAGCAAAACTCTATTACTACTACTTATTTATATAGCATTCTTCATTGGTAAAGCTTTCTAGCCTTTATTATATTGGCCCACCAGTGACTTGG